CCATAAACAGGTTTAGTGAGGGAGAAAGTTTTTGAGGTTATGGGTTTGTATTGGTGAATACTTGGTTTATTATGGCTAGGCCTATCACACAACGTTAATTTGATTTTTTCCTCCTCTTTTTTTGCATTTTTTTTGGGGGGGGGGGGGGGGGTTTGTGTGGAGGAGGAAGAAACTGGTTGGGGTTAGGAGAGTGTGACTCGAGTCTCTGTTCTGAGACAGAGCAAGGCCCTTTAAGATTGTGCTTCTTTTTTTTTTTTCAAATTTCAACCACTTTTTCTTGTCGTTTCTTTTTCTTTGTTAGACTCAAGTCTCTGAGACAGAGAACAAGACCCTTTAATATTGGGCTATTTTTTATTTTAGTTTTCATCCACTTTTTCTCATCATTTGTTTTCCTTTGTTAGATTTGTTCAAATGTCCTTGTTTGTTTTTTACTCCTATGGCTTTTCTTTTCTTGTCCTTTTTTAATGATAGCATTGGTTTCTTATTATGTGCAGGTAGTACCTTGCGCTGTTTTAGCTATACTAATTCATCCATCCACATCACATCACATCATCAACAGGATTGCCTGGGGTTTCTGTGTATATCTTGAAGCTGTTTCTGTGCTGCCTCAGTTGCGAGTTATGCAAAACACTAAGGTAGAATCACCAAGCCAAGAGACCTTTGTCTGATATTGGTTTGATTACTGGTCGTCGTGGTGATACTTTTATATTGTTCATTGCAGATTGTTGAGCCATTCACAGCTCATTATGTATTTGCATTGGGTATTGCAAGGTTTTTAAGCTGTGCTCATTGGGTTCTCCAGGTTTGAATTACTCACTTCATTATGTACATTTCCTGGAGTATGAGAAACTATCTGATATCATCTGACATCTGCTCAGTATGCGAATTAACATTGGTCTCATTGTCGACAAAGTCATGTTGGTTCTTTTTAGATGGTAATAATTAGTTGACTTTGACACGAACTCTGAGGTGAAGTTCGGAAAAATAGTTGGCTTAGAACATAGTTGGAGAACATGCAGTACCATAAGCCAATTTATTCATTCTTAAGGACTTAAAAAAATTAGGTAAACATCAATAGTGCTTTACTGACAGATCGCCTTTGATATGTGTCCATGTCCTTGTGTTTGATCAGTGTTTATGGTATATTATGACTGCGTGTCAAATAGTTCAGGCAAAAGTGGTGGTGGGTTAATAAGCATGGACTTCATCAGAGTAATTGGATATTAAATATGGTATAGGATGATGTTTATATTGCTGATTTGCATGGGATTGAGTTCTTTTGAAACTATGCATAGTCAGAGTAGAAAGAGGGTATACTTGCACTGGCTCAAAGTGGCACTCGGGTGTTAGTTGCTTTCCTATGTCCAGAGTACTGTCCTTTTAAGTCACTAGACAACCTTGTTTAGGCAGACAGATTGCCCTTTGTTAAGCACATAGCTGATTAGTTGAAATCCTCCAAAAAGAGGTCGGACATGTTAAACGGTTTGTGTGAATTTGCTTTTCCCCCAAAGTGAAACTTTGTTAACATGACTTTGACTAATTGTTGGCGTGATTTTTCTTCATTTTGACAGGTTCTGGACAGTCGTGGCCATCTGCTTACGGCTTTGGGATATGGACTGTGGCCTTCCATGGTGCTTATATCTGAAATTGTTCAAACGTTCATTCTAGCAGACTTCTGTTATTATTATGTGAAAAGGTGAACTCAACTTCTTGTACTTTATTATTCTCGAGCTCATAGAATCTAGAATGATAGCTGTTTTTTTGAACATTTCTATCCATGTTGCAGTGTTTTTGGAGGACAGCTGGTCTTACGCCTTCCTTCTGGAGTAGTATGATTCATTATCTGTCTGAGCAGGCCACCAAAAAGAAGTTGAATGTAGTAGTCGATTGTTTTCTTTTTAACTTTTTTGTCAGGGCTCTCTCCTCACGGTTCATGTTGGTTGCTGGTAATTCAGTGTCGAAATTTAAGGGAGTGATGGTCTGTAAAGTTGGCTATTCGAGCAACTTTGATATCTAATTAATCATTACTTGGTAACAGATAATAGCTTATTGGCCATCCTAAACGCATAAAACCAAAAAGATATGCGTAATCAAGAAGCAGATACACTTTTGTTGCTTCAAGTGTTCATACATTAAAAGATAGATTGGTTATAGAGAAATCACCTTGGATAATAGCTGCTGTTTTTCAACGACCCCTTAGCTGTATTATTCAGCGGGCGGAGCCGGAAATCACTAACTACGCGGTGCTGTTTTCATCTTGTTTTAGCCTTTTTTGTTCAAAAGATGTGTAGCTCTCAAGAGAGTGTATCATGTTGGTGTTGCCCGCAAGTAATTTCACACAGGAAGCTTGAATGTTAGGACGGTGCTTAAATTTCGGAATATTCATTGACACCAAAAAAAAAGAAAAGAAAAGAATGTTAACGTTTGGGAGCCATTTTTTGCCCAACAGAAATTGGACAATGCCTATAGAATGGAAATTGTTATTAACGAGTGAGAGTAAGGGATATGTGGTGGTATCAAGCTAAAAAGATGGGAAGATATGACGATTATCTTGGAAAAGAAGTGGTCTAGCCCTAGCATCTGGCATGTACGATCCTTGCATACTTTCAAGAACCAATTCACCCTTTTTGGTAAGTCTCATTTTATTGTTTTTGGCAAGTGCCTTTTCTTTTCTTTTTTTTTTTGCCGGAGACGGTAAACTTAATCTATCCTACACTAAGGGGAAGGGGACGGGCCTAAGGAGGTCCAGGGATAAGTCGGAAGAAACTGAACCACTAACGAACCAGACGGGTGCACAGCACACCCGCTTGAATTTTTTAGGAACAAGCCACAGAAATGTGACATTTTTTGTGGGAGCCAAGGTTCAAACCCTTACCTTCCACCCCACCAAGTAGGTGGTAGCCACTGCGCTAAAGGCCCAGCGGTTGGTAAGCGTCTTTTCGATTGCGACTTGATATGCCAAAAGCCTTCAACTTTCCTCGTTTCTTTCCTGTTTGCAATGAGATGTGAAAGTTCCTCAAAAAATGAACAAGAAAAGTTCTCAAAGTTAAAGAGTTAGCGTATAGGCCCACAAAAATAGGGGTGATAATTTTGGATACGAATTGAAAATACATCATGAATTTAATGCGAAATTAATGAGTTTGGATTGAGATTTTACAGGTTGGAATTAGAATCGGATCGACTTGATAAATTCAAAAAGAAAGTAAATCGAATTCAGGTCATTCATGGCTTGATCCGATAACCCATTTATGAATTAAAAAAAATTTAATAAATATAAAAATATTTTATCCAACTAAACTAAGTTATTCTTTTTTTTTCCAAAGGCATTAATCACTTAATCCTAAATAAATTTGTTTAACTTGTGTGAAGTTGAAATTATTAGGTTTGGACAAATAATGTATTATATTATTTTTTACTTTTATAGTGTCTTAGTTTATTTTAAATCTGGTTTGGAATAAAATACTTTTTCAATGTTTTAATTTATTTCAGATCTGGTATAGGATTGTTTTATCGAGATTTTTATTATTTGATTATATTGCCCTGTTTGAAAGGTGAGTTTTCTAGAAGTTTGTCTAAAACTTTATTGTAACTTACTGTAGAAGTTTTTTTTAAAAATTTTTGAAATAAGTAGATTTTTGAATATTTTGAAGTGTATAGTTTAAAAACTTTAAAAAATTTTTTGAGGTTACTGTAGCTAAAGCTTTTAAAAAACTTGTAACAAATAAACTTGACAAAAAATCTGGGTTCCAAACAAGGCCATATGTAATTAGTCTTGGTGAAATTGGTTTTATTAGAAACTATAGTATTAAATTAGTAAATTAAAATTATGTTTCAAATCATATCAGGTCAATCTGAAAATGTCAGATTCAGGTCAATCCAAAATTGATCCGCCAACCACAGTGCAAAACTACAATTCGAAATTGATCCGTTGCGGATTGATGGGTCGTATTCAAATCAACAGATTCCCTGTTATACTTGAATCTCAATCCGATCAGCCAATCCGTTTTTAACCCGATTGCCACCCCCGCGTAAAGATAAAGATGATTGCTGGAGGGTTTGGGGTTTGGCAGCTAAAGCGGTCAAGGAATTGCTCCAGAAACAACAGCTGTGAAGCACAATACCTTAAAATTCAGTGGACCTTCCACACCACGAGCATTTGATTCTATGTCCATCCATGGCAGTAGTGGACAATACTACGACTATGCTACCAGCTTAGCTTGCTAGGTTGTTAAAGTAAAAATGAAGAAGCAAAATTAAAGAAAGACAAGAGCTAGCTTTCCTGGTATGAACTCGCCAAACTAAAGATATGTTCGTGCTGTGGGGTGTGGGGCTCTCTTTATAAATTGTAATCAATCATATCATCGACCTAAAGAGTCCCCCCCCCCCCCCCCCCACACTCTGGATTAGACCAAAGATGTTTCGTTCACTGAATCCGTCGACTCCTATCTGTCCTGGCTTCTTGAGCTCTAGTCGGTAAAGAAAGAAAAGATTTACAGCTTATTGTAACTGTGTGTCACGTCACGCCTGGTAATGGAAATTACGAGCTCTAATATTTAGAAGAAATCGTGTTCGTAATACCACCAAAATATATGAGAAATCGTTTTAGCCTCTGCCTAACTTCCTAGCAAGCCAAGCACAAGGTAAGTCAAGTTCCGCCAACCATTTTGCATGCAAATATGATAGTACAACTAGCATGTAATTGGTGCCAAGAGTTTTTAGGCTTATCCGGAAGACTTGACATTGGGTTGGACTTGAGCTCTCATCAGGCAAAGTCGGCACTGCATACCCATAGCATTATTTTTTGGACATTTGCTATTATTCGATAATTGACATAACAACCACTTTGATATATTTGTTTAGCCAGTGCCTAAATCTGTACGTATCAATGAATGAAACGTTGTTGACGTATACCTAAAACTACATCAGGTAGCCTTGCTAAATGATTAGGTACATTATAGGAGATGATGCCAGCTGCCTCTGCATGCATATCCTGATATCGATCCATCCATTACTCAGTACGATGAATTTGTGTTCCCAAAGTCTTGTGATTCACCGATAAATCATCACTCCCTCCGTGTATGGTAATTGTGCTAGTCTATATAGTAGTAGTATTTACCTTCTTATCAGCCCCCCGAAAAAAAGAAGAAAGAAATAGTATATACCTTGTTCATGAGATTCTCTGTCCTCATATAAGCCTGCCAAGTACCACCTCCTCATGGCCGGCCTCTCTCCACTATAAATTGCGTACTTCTGCCCTCCCCACACCTTCATCACCCAGAAGCAAGACTCCTACTGCCTCAGCTCCTAGCTCTTCAGTTTCCTATCTTATCATCTCATATTCTCGTTTCTTCCAGAGAGTATTAATCTATCCATGGCTTTTGCAAAATTAATCATCCCGTTCATACTCGTTTCTTTGCTGGTTCTCCACCAAGTCCAAGCGGTTCAAACCAATCATCAACTGGTAACGTTTTCTTTAAATTCACACCAATTTTCTTCACTGACTATCTAATGAGCAATAGCGTACCATCAAATTAGTTAGAGGAATATATAGTTTTTCATTTTCCTGCCATGCACCTCTTCCTATATCGTTTGAGATTTTAGTTGGCTTCTCTTATAAATCATGAAGTAATTTGACTTAACCCTTGTACTGCCTTTGTGGTGCAGGCCAGCAATGCTGTTTCAAACACAGGTTATGGCCCAAAAATGGGTATGCGTTCAATAACTTGAGTTGTAGTAATTAGTTATTTTATCATTGACATCCTACTAGTTACTATTACTTTTATCAGCCGGAAGATAGTAGTATAAATAACCTAAGAGTTTAGGTTAGTGGTCGAAGAATTAATGGAAGTTTAATTTCTGGCAGATTGTGGGGCAGCTTGTGCAGGGAGATGCCAGTTATCATCGAGACCAAGGCTTTGCAAGAGGGCATGTGGAACCTGCTGTGTCAGGTGCAACTGCGTTCCTCCGGGGACTTCAGGCAACTATGAAGCTTGTCCTTGCTATGCCAGCCTTACCACCCATGGCAACAGGCGCAAATGCCCTTAAACGAACCACCGCCAATTACTCATCTCTTCTCCATCACTCCCATCTCCATGCATGGATAGATTGATAGCTTATCGGTTTGCAGCATATGTCTTTGTTCGTGAAGTATCAATTTGGTTGCTGCAAATAAGATGTGAGAGAGTAGGTGTTGAAATCCCTGGTGCAATTAATACCCTTTGCATGAGCGATATGTTGTATACTACTGTATATGTTGTACGAGTGATGTGTCTTATGAGTTAATTTAGTTAGATGTGTACGAGATATTAAGTTCTGCCTTGGATGCATACGAGAAATAAAAAGAAGTTGTGGCTGGCTGTTTCTTGTTTGTTGTTTTGTGCTGGTTGTATATTGTTTTTTGTTTTTAACATATTTTGTATACGCTAGCTAATAGTATATATATTATCACTGTTAAATTTATGACACATGAATAAAAAATTAAATTTTAAATTTAAATTATATATAATCATTATTATTTATTCAAAACCGACGATGCATAGACGGTGTGTAAATGTATAAGATACAGTAACATAGTGAAATCATGGATTTGTAAATGCATGAGGTGGTCAACAAAGAATTATCAATCCATTTAATGGTTCATCCATCAAGAAATTAGTGCATCAACCATAAAGCAGGTAGTTAAATTTTACCGTGTGAATATTTTATTCTCCTCCCTTTCATATTTTTTAATGAATGAAAAATTTGCCATATTAGTAACTTATAATGGTTCTACGAAAGAATGGTAATAATAGTTGTAACTATTGAGTAAATAGATGTATGAGTAAATAGATGTATAGGGATGGCAATGGGACCTGCCCCGCGGGGGGCTGGGGGAATTTTTTTTCCCTCGCTTAGAAATGGGGCGGGGGGCGGGGGAGTGTACCCCTGTCCCGCCACCCGCTTTAAAAAATAAATATATAAAATATATATGTATATAATTATATATAATATATAATTTAATTAGTTACAAACTTATGATAATGATATTATTAGTTATATGTATTATATAATGTCTATTAGTATATATAATATAATTGATATTATTAATTATACTAATAATTATATATGTGTACTAATCCAAATTATTAATTGGTTATACTAAATTTACTAATATATTTATACTAAATCTCTAATTACACTTAATACAATAATATTTTTTTTAAAAAAGTACAAGCACAATAATGAATTAGTGATTGTATTTGTGCCTAAAGTGAAAACTTGACTACTTTAGTTATATTTATTTCGTCATGTTGGATTGTATTCAAATAATTTTTATTTGATTGTTTTAATAAGTTTCAATTGTAAAATTACAATGAATAATAATTTGATGATGTGTTGATATTTTAGTAGTTGATTATTTGCTAAAATTTAACCATAATAAAATTATATAACAAATTTTTATCAACCCTACGAGGGCACCCGCGGGGGAAGCGGGGGACGGGGATGGTGTGGGGGCGGGGGGAGTTTGTAGGCAGCGGGGCGGGGGATGGGGGAGGGGTTCCCTACCCCAACCCCGTCCCGTTGCCATCCCTATAGATGTACATGGACACTAGTTAGGAATGGTTCAAAGCAGCACTTTTTTTTTTTTTGGAATAATACCAAATTTCTAATTTTGGCTAATTAAAACACAATGGACAGTAGTTAGGAAACTCTTATGTTAGCCAAAATGAAATGTGTTTCTCCAACTCTAGTGCTATATTTCAACACTACGAGCTAATGTTATAAAAGTTCAAGTTCTAGGTTCTGTAAACTAAAATTTCTTTTTGACTAAAAAAAAATAAAAATGAAACATGGATGGTGTAAATTGATTAAATATAATGTTCAAATTATTCGCCTAGATTGTAAACATATACACATCACAAAGTTCTAATAATCATCCATCAATTTAACATTCTAAGAATATTTTTGGGATTAAAAATGTAATTGCACATGACAAAAAGTATTTTGTTACATTGTAGTAAAATATGGGTTCTTATATTCCTTTAATTTGATATGGGTTCTTATATTCCTACACGTGATAGACTGTAGTGTTTGTCTCTTTAATCTCTTTTTTTCTTCATTTTTCTTTAATTTGTTTTGGAGTAGTTTGGACTACTACTGTTAGCTGCATTCAATTTTAATAACTCTTTGGTGTGATCTTTTACAAATACAGAATACCCAAAGTATACAATTGAAACAAAATTTTGGTTTACTTGAAAACCTAAAAAAATTATGTCGTCAGAAGTTGAATATAATTCAGCTTCTCAAGCATATCTTGCTGCAATTTAAGTGGTAATAACATTCGTTCATCCTGATAGAAAGGAAACGTTGCATATTCAATGCTTTATTATGAGGCAAAAAAAAAAAAAAAAAAAAACTTGAAATCGTCTTCTTCAGACAAGAATTTCACTTGCATGTAACTGCTCTGCCTAAAAGGGTTACTATGGAAGTCCAGTGACTAGGTTTCAGACTGCGAGAGTTCTTGTAAGAATGCCTTCGACAGTAATTCCAGGGCCAAATGCCAATATTAGTCCCCACTCCTCGTTCCCTTTCTGATCCTCCTTTCTTGCAATTTTATTCTCTTCCAACATGTATTCCAGCACATAAACAATTGTATTACTGCTAGCATTTCCAAAATCTGCTAAAGCCCTTCTACTGGCATTCAATTTCTCCGGCAGCAAATCCAGCTTCTTCTCCATTCTGTTCAGAATAGCAGGGCCACCAGGATGGACAGCCCAAAACATCTTGTTATAGTCCTTCTCTGAGTATCCAGCAACATCCATCAATCTAGCGCAAAATCCTTCGATATTGTCCTCAATTATTTGAGGAAGTTCCCTGCCTAACTTAAAGCTGATACCCTCTTCTGTAAGCCTTCCGTCAATGATTTTCTCCGTGTCAGGCAAGAAATGCTGCATTGAGGTATGCAACTCGAACAGAGGCCTCTCTATGGATGGTTCAGGACTTGAGCCGACTATCATAGCTCCAGCACCATCGCCAAAGAGTGCAACGCCGACTAAATCGTAGGGTCTTTCAGCACTAGGTGGTCTGAATCCAATAATGGTAGTCTCAGAAGTAGCCAGCAATACTCTGCTCCCTGGATTGTTCTCAGCAATGTCCTTGGCTACCCGAATGCCAGCCACCCCTCCAGAACAGCCAGAAAAGTTGAGCATAACTCTCTGAGTTTCAGGTCGAAGCCCGAGTCCTTTTGCTAGGTATAGATCACCGCCAGGCAGTCTAACTTCACTGGAAGAAACGTATACTAAATGCGTGATATCCGAAATAGGCCTTCCCCAATTCTTGATGCATGATTGCGCAGCTTCGATGGCCATCTCTGTTACAGCTGGATTGCAGATGTCCAGCCGTTGCTTCACGGTAGGAAGGCCTTCAACCACGAGCTCAGGGTACTGATTTAGGATCTCTTCCGACATTACCACATATCTTGTTTTCACCGTGGTCGTTTTGCCTGTATTGTGCCATGAGAACAACCTTGTTAGATCCCTTCAGTTTTTTGTACGTCAAAATGTACGTAAAATAAAGAACAGTAAACAGGGTTAATTAGAGCGAGATTACAGAGTCGAGTCAGCTTCTGCTTGAGGTCCGGGTCATCACAGTTGGTGTTTCTGAAATATCCATCCACTAGGAACTCTTGCATGACAAGCTGGGGAGGGAAGGCCTTGCCCAGAGCAAGAATAGTAGCTTTTCCAGGAGTTACGATCGTTGACCCATGTACGGCATCTTCGATCCCCATCCTGTCTTTCTTCTGGAATATGTCTTTACAAATTTCTTGTGACAATACTTGGAAATTTCTTGTGACAATACAAAGGGCTACATCTATTTATACTTGCCTTTACTGGCTCCTCTTGAATTTTTTTAAGGAATTTCAGTTTTATCACCTAAAAGGTTGACAGGTAAGGTCCCATATTTTTAAATTGCAGACTGTAAGGGATTAGATCAGGAGCAAGTGTTTCATGATTCATCCCAAAATGCACCGGTATGGTTCTGGTTGAACATATTTCAGAGAAAGGAGCTCTATCTCCATGGCATTTGAAACAACCTTTTAGTGACAATGGTTATAGTTTTGTAACATCCATTGATTGTAAAAAATGTCAAGCAAGTAATGAGATGTTAAGCTTATTATTAACCAAACTAGCTTATCTGATGAACGTGTAGCGGCTTCTGTATCCCTTATTATATACAAGAAGAAGAAAAACGGGAAAAGGAAAAACTGCGCATGCTTTAACCAGGAGAACATGGGAGTTGGCAAAGCAAGCTCCAATTTCAATAATCCAGCAAAGTATCAAAGATTATTAATTCGCAATTGACAGGCTATAGTAACAGAAGCAAATAAACTATATCATGATTGACGTACTAACGGTTCCAAGACATTTTCAAGGGAACAGAGAAAGACAACATTTCATTGTTCCACTTGCAAATCACACGGATTTATAACAAGACATTGAGAATGATCTCCTGGATTTCGTTTAATGCGCCATGAACAGGAAAATTCGGGATCGTTCAAACTTCAAAGTTCTGAAAGGCGCTTCCCATTAATGTAATCAACAATTTGCGTGACTGCTAGATCAAGTGCTGCAGTAACTGCCGCCAGATTTTGCAAGAACTCTTCAGCTGTTGGTTTGTCGCCATCAGTAATATCTGTCACTGCTTTGATAAATATTGCAGGTACTTTCAGAAGATCTGCCACATAGGCAATAGCTGCACCCTGAAAGGCATAAAAGTGTACACTGTGATAAAAATAAACCTGAATAAGAGCATCATTTTGCAGAACCAAGTCTACGAGTAATTTTCAGGAGTCATCAACTCTGCAGAAGACATCGCAGCTTAAGATGGTTCACAAAGATCCAAGCTCAGATCCTTTAGTTCAATCACATTACGTCTTGTAGATATTGGATCTTCAAAGCACATTTCCATCAAAGTTCAGATTAAAATTAAAGAGTAAATTTTGAAATGTCGCAAGCAATAGTAATTACACCTAAAACTAATAAACACAGTAGTCGATCGATTAGAACTACCAAGATACTCAAAACACGAAAAAATGAATAAAAACATAGAACACATATGTATGAATGGATACCTTTTGAAAAGAAAAAATATTCAACAAAATCTTAATGAGCTGACAATCATGAGAAACTATATTAGCTTACTAAACTCTGCACAAGGGAGGGCCCAAAAACAAAGACCTAGTTGGTTAGATCTGGTTGAATGTACCAAAGTATGATTTTGTAATGACTACCTCCATGTCTTTGATTGTTGCATCATTTGCACTGATAGATGCTTCATCCTGAGGGGACATGTCCAGTGAATCACCAGTCGACAATTTGCCAACCTGAAA